AGTCGCGAAGAACCAATGCAGTATGACATGGCACCAATCGAGACTTGACGCGTTTGAGACACAAAACATCCTTCAAAATGGTTTGGACTGAGCCAAATGATATTCCAACACTATCAGCGAGGTCTCTCATTGTCAGTCGACGATTTTCAAGCACCAAATCTTCGATTTTTTGGACGTGGCCCTCGTCGGTAGACGTTGATGGTCGTCCAGAGCGCGGTTCGTCTTCAACGCGTTCTCGGCCCGCTTTGAACTCGTTGTACCACTTATAAACGTTTTTTTGTGCCATAGTTTGATCACCAAAGGCCTTCCGCAACATTTTCAACGTGTCCGCACAAGAATATTCGTTCCGCAAACAAAATTTGATGCAAGTTCTTTGCTCAACAAAATCACCCATTGTAAAAATCGAAAAATTCACTTTTGGTTGTTTACAAAAACACGTGTAACTCGGAGATAATTAAACCTTTTGACAAACAGACGCTTGGCAAATGTTACAGACAGTCCTACCAACCTAGGAAAAAAAAATTACCCGCCTTCTTAATGCCCGGAAGTTTTAAATGACAATTTCACCTTACTTTTTGATCACAGTAGTACATCGAATAAGACGTGTAACATTTTTTTTATTCTCGTATCTTGTTTATTTTCTCGTTTAAAAAAATTGTCTGGAGATCGTGTACGCTTTTCGCAAGCACTATCAATTGGTAACGGGTACACTACGGATTTTATGAGAAGAAGATCGGAAGAAAAAAAGATCGGAAGATGAAATGCAAAACTGTGAGAACATTTGAGGAGTTCAAAAATACTGCTGCGTTACTATTTTAACTTGGTAAAATATTTCAGCAAAGAGATTAACGTCCGCGTGGCAGCATTACGTCGTAATTCATACAAAACGGTTTTTAGTTTTTCAATAAAAATCCGCGATCTATCGATAAATATACGATTCGAACGATCTCCGAATCTTCGCAGTAACAAGTATTCCGATTCGAACGTTCTTGGAATGCACAAAGAAAATGTGCATGCGATCGGTACCGCGCAAACACTGTGCGTACATCGGGACACACGTTGATCTTGCTCGAATTGTTGCCAAAAGGGGGCTCCCGTTGCAAATGAGCCGTTTATTTTGAAAGTGGCATAAGTCACTTTGCCGTGATGAAAAGCGGTGATTTTTTAAATGTTTGTAAGAAATTATTTGTACCGAGAAAAATA